TTTAATATTCTAGATTGAGGAGATCTACCTACTATGACCTCAATAATGATGTCTTATATCAAAGTGTTTTTTGTACTTGGTAGCCATTACCATTAGTTTACCATTAGTAAGGAATTTTTTCTATTGCTAAAGTAGTCAGATTAGTTGTACTGACGAAATCGTTCCGTAATTGACAAATTTCCCCCTCATGTCTTGATGATGAAAAAACCACATTATATGCAAAAGTAACTTGAAAATTTGTTTTGATTCAATACATTACTCTAATTAATAAAAAAGTATTTTTAAATTAGGAAAGTTTACTTATTAAAATGTGCTTTAATTTTTTAATAGTAAAACCTAACAAAGATATCTAAATTTTATGCCTTTGTGCTGAGTAAATGTCACTAAGAGTAACTAACTCAAAATAGCTTATAACAAAATGGTGGTTATTTTTGATATGCAGTAAATTTATTTTATGTTTGATTGATTACTCTAAACTTATAAAACATGTTTAAAAACAAAAAAACTGTTTTTTTATTTATAACTAAAGTGAAAGAAAAATTAGAGCAATCAATAATTAATCAATCAAATTGATTGCATCAATCAACCCATCGTATCGAATAATTGATTGCACGCATTAAACGATTGGCACTCAAAGCTGCTGTAGCTAAAAACGTATAAAAAATTTAAATGTATACGAATTTTAAGACTTATAATTCAGACTAAAAGTAAACCGCCAAATTTTCTTTATATTTTTTAAACTTTAATATACCAACATTTTTTACTTAAGGTGGTAGTCATAACCTGGATGGATCTCAATGCATCTAAACCAACGAACTTTGTAAGTTAAAAAGTATACACTGAAGTTACATTTCAATTGATATATTAAATAGCAAACTTTTTTAAAACACTGTTTGTACTTTTATTTTTTTGGTTTAAGCGCAAGTTTTTTTCTGATGACGAAATTAATGGGTTTCGAGAAATTTTTTCAATGTATGACAAAGATAATAGCGGTACTATCACTCTCAATGAAATTGGCGAAGTCATGAAAAGTGCAGGTCTAAATCCATCTGATGAAGAAATAAAACAAATGATATTAGAGATGGATTCAAACGATAGTGGTACTATCGAGTTTTCGGAATTCTTAGCAATAATAAAAAGTCGAATTCAAAATAGCGAGTACAACGGATTTAAAGAAATTTTTCTTAAGCATGATATAAATGAATCCGGCTTAATTAACAAAGAAGAATTGCTTTCGGTGATCCACACTTATAACAAAAGATTCTCAGAAGATGATGTAGAAAATTTAATTAAAGAAGTGGGTCATACAAATAATTACGTCAATTACGAAGGTATTTTAAAATATGTTTTTTTGACACGATGCACTGAAATAGATTTATTTTAAAATTACTTTTTGGACAATGTTCATTGAATGTTATTGAGATTTAAGTAAGATTAGAATTTTTTTATTATTTTCTGATGCTGATTTTATTTTTTAGATTTTTTGAAGGCATGGCGTGCTTTATAAAAAGCATGATGGCGTGCTTTATAAAAAGCGTCGCGTTAAAAGGTGATTTTTGATAATAACATCAAAGTAAAATAATTGTAAAAATAAAGGAATAAAATGTTTTTTTGTTCTTTTTCTTTTCTTTTTTAACTCCTTCTTAACTAAGGTTTTTATTTATCATTTCTTATCAATTAAAATAGCAAATAAAATTTTTAAATAAAAAACAGTCTTAATTAACTTAATTTTTTAAAAATATTTTTATTATTACAATTCAAAAAATCATTTTTTAATATTGATAGAGGTTGCGTAAAATGAGCGTAAGAGTTCCTAAGATGGTATAACCTCTTTTACGGGTAGACTACTGAATTTTTCGCAAACTTTTTTGGTTAAGGATATTCATACAAGTTCGACAGTGTAATTTATTTTAATTTCTTAGTTGTATAGTTAACATTCTTTGATTATTTTACTGATGAAAAAATTTACCATCCCAGTTATAATTTTTTATTATTCAATATTTTGTAATTACGTCAGAACGAAACAAGATCATACAAAATTTATTACACCAATTTTTTATGATCTTGTATTATAATACTTTATGCTTATTTATTGCTAATTCCATGGGTTATATGAGATAATACAAAAGCTGTTGTCATGCTATTTAAATTATGATAGCATTTGGTGAAATTGTTTAAGATGATTCGTTTTTAGGCGCTCAAGATGAGATGCGGCTTTTTATTAAAAAAAGCCCGTTTTTTTAAAGTTATTCTCCACGGAGCTTTATTTTGGTATTTCAAGAGCGAAAGTTTTTTCAAAAAATAGTATCGCAAACTATTCTAGAGATAAAAATTTTTTTTTTTTTTTTTTTTATGGTTGAGATAATTACTTTTTACCTAAGTATAGTCCTTAAAGGTACAATTTTATTAATTTTTTTTTGTGATTATTTTTTTGTTAACTTGAGTTTTTTTGAGTTCCATTGAAAAAAGTGTGTCACATGATAGAGCCGAAAATATTTATCCTCAAAATATTTTACAAATTTTACCGAAATATTTTACAAACGAACAATTTAGAACCGAAAAGTATACTTTTTTGTGCAGAAAGTTTTAGAACCGAATTTTACAACCGAAAAAATTTGGATCGAATCATAAAATCCTTTTTTTTTTTATTTAATTTAAAAACTTGATTTTACAAGATAGTTTTAGTGTTAACTAATTTAAATCAATACATTTAACTTTATAGACAGTACACATATAAATGTCATAAAAAATTACAATAGTTTCATTAAAAAAAAAATGTCATGAAAATTTACAAAAGTTTCAATTAAAAAAAAATATTTATAACAATATGTGTGTTTTATTATAACAATATGAAAACAATGTGTATGAGCATGGTCTCCACATCTTAAATCAGAAATCGTCCTTCTCGAACGTGTGAAAAAATGTGTCCATTGTCAGCATAGGAAATTAATTGTCGTCATTTTTTGAACAAAACTTCCAAATTATAGAACAATAAGAAAAGTTAAATTAAAAGCATTAATCAACAAAAAAGATTTATCATGGGATAAAAAATTTCTTAAGCGTCCCTGACAGCAAGTATACATTGGACCAACGTTAGGCCAATGCATGGTGATACATTGGCCCAACATTGAAATTCGATGTTGGCCCAATGCAGGTTTGATCATTAATTAGGCATTGGCCCAACGTTGTGTACAAAATTGACCCAATGTTGTATACAACGTTTACCCAATGTTGGCCCAACGTTGTAAACATCATTGGCCCAATATCGTATGTAACATTTGGCCAATATTGTATAAAACGTTAGGCAAATGTTATTTTAATTAGCTATATACTGAATTTTAACAACAAATGCTGTATATCAGCTTAACGTTTTATGCAACATTAGATTGTTGTTACAAATAGATGATTTGCATCGCTACATTGAAATTTATAAAGAAATACAAAAATGAATGATATAAGAATAAAAATTTATTTATTTACTTTACATAATTTCTCCGTTAAATGTACATATTGCAAACACCAAACATAAACCAAAAACTAACACATTGAGTTTTAAATATAAAATATTCCTATAAAATTTATGGAGTAGTTTCGCTACTGCCTGAGCTACTTGTTATTGAATCGTCTTTAGCTAATGGTATTTGGTACCCACGACTACAATCTTTTCTTCCACCATCTCTATCACATGCCTGCATAAGCTGTACGTATTTGACTTTATAGCTTCTGCAAAAAAAATTAGTTGTTTGTTTAATTTTGCACCAAAGAAACATAACAAACTGTGTAAACATAAGTAACTGTGTAATGCAAAATTGAAACTGAAAAAATAAACTTCTAAACCATTTACCAATAGCAAAATATAAAAATACAAAAGAAAATATTTTATAAACTTGTTGCTCCCATGCTAAGGGTTGGGTGGGCCCAAAAATTTATGTTTTTTTGTTCCCACAACTCTTTGCAACACATTCTCATTTGACTTAAGCATGAACCATACGTCAAAACGCTTTTTATTTTGCGCATTGCATATTGAGTATTATACTCACATCATACTCATTACGCAACTCATCACATGCATTTTTTTGAGTATAATACTCAGTATGCAACCTATCGTACCTATTTTTGTTAAGTAAAATACTCAATACAAAACTCACCTTACATATTATTTTTGAGTATTTTGCGTAAAAATACGCAACTTTTTTGAGTGTAAAATAGAATTTTGTTTTTCAGTAATGTGATGTTTTACTTTAATGCATTTAAATCAGAAAAACGAAATAAGGAAATAAAAGTAAAAATTCATTATAGGTTTCAAAAATGTAATTACATCTCATAAACAAAACAATAAGTAAGAAAATTATCTAAAAACGAATAAAGAAAATATTTTTTTTCAGCCAGTCCATTGAGTATGGTTAAGTTACTTTTTAAAAAAGCAGGATTCATTAATATTTCATCTGTCATGTTGCCGGCTCTTTATTATTAACTACACCGCATATGCTAAAAAAGCGTTCAACATTTTTTTTTTTTTTTTTAATTTTATTTCACCTCCTCAAGGCCGAGAAGGCCACTACAGACAAGGAAACTACTTATTTAAGGTTATAACCCTCTCTCAACTCTATAACTCCGAAACTCGAACCTTGACGAGCAAGGCCGCTGCGCGGAGAAACGAGTTGAGCGCGGTACTACCAGGGACGTGGTGGGGATCGAACTCGGAACCACTCGTTTATGAAGCGAGCGCTCTACCACTACACCACTACCGCATAAAAGATGCGATGAAATAACATATGCGGAGGATGTCGGTATATTGTAAAACATAAGACATAAATTATAAAGATACGGTCATTCTTTTCTTTTATCAAACCAAAATGCATTATACTGAGTTTTGTTGGTGAAAGTATGGTTTCTTAGAATATTTATGAAGGTATCTCTTTCTTTGTCAGCTAAGTGTTTAATGCTGAGTTCTGTTTTGTTGTATTCTATCTGATCCAATTCTATGCTTTGGCAAAACTGATCAAAAGCTTCATCGTCAGGCACATTTTTTTGAGTAAAACTATTTTTAGCATTTGCAGTCAAATCATTTTTTTCACTTTTTTAGTTAAATTCAATTGCCAAGTTTACTAATGAGCTTAGGCCTAAATTGACTGTGGCTTTGGCTATCGGTCTTTGATACCAGAGGTAAAGTTTAGAAACATTTAAAACTGCAGCAGCTCCGTAAACAGCAGAGTTAAGCTCGTGATCAAACTGTTTTTTTAGATTTTTTATCAACAGTTCGCAAAATTTTTTCTTTTTTTCTTTTTTAGCCATTTCCTCATATTGCATTTCTAACAATTATAAACTTGGTACCAAATCACCGATATGTACGCGATTTCTCTGATTCACAAGTGTAAATCTATATGCGGGGAGCATCATTGATAAATAGAATTCAATCTCTGCTTGAGTAACTGGACATTTTACTGTTTCAAAACAATTTTTTGATATACTTTATAAAAACAAATCAAGATTAAAAAGCTTAATGACCAACGAGTTAAATTTTCATTTCTTAATCTTTGTTTTTTTTGCTGTTGAAATATTCAAGCAATTTAAATTGTCTGATGAATCTTTTAAGCAATAGAACAAAACAAATGACGAAACAGTTTTCAATCGTTTGCATGACCTCACAGTATTACGTAAAGAAATATTAAATTTTTATAGAGTACATTAAACTGATTTTAAATCATATAAAAACATAGGTGAGGAAAGTACTCTAATTTGATGTTAAAGTATAAAAACCCACATTAAAAACGCTAATATTAGTCATCTTTGTCATACTCGGTTATGATAAAATTCTTTTTCCATAACAATTTTAAAAGAATCGAGTGTAGGGGATTGTAGCGATTGCAGTCAATGTAGCGATTGCAGTCGGAAAGTCACGTGGTATATATATATATATATATATATATATATATATATATATATATATATATATATATATATATATATATATATATATATATATATATATATATAACTAAAATGGTAGATGTTCGCGGCAAAGATTATGACGTATTTCCGACTGCGAAGTCTTTAAAATGTATAGGGGTTGTTGTGTCTTTAAGTGATTTTTGATATATATATACGTATAAATATAAATAATATATTAATTATATATATATATATATATATATATATATATATATATATATATATATATATATATATATATATATATATATATATATATATATATATATATATATATATATATATATATATTATATGTTTTAAACGTACAAGTCAGACAACTTGTGTTTTCAAAACAACAAAACTAGAGCCTAATGTCTTGTGAAAAAATTCCTGCATCTAGCCAATGCCAAAATATTTATAAGCATCTAATGCTTCATAATTACCTTTAGCCTCAAAATAAAATATTATAGGACTTTTAAATAAATAATGATAATCGTCATGGTATTGAACTCATGGCCATTAGTTTGATCATCTATCCAAGTATTTGCAAGGAACTTGTGTTGACATCGGTTGATTCCAAGGATTTGCAAATTTATTTATATACCTTTCTGTGGCGTTAAAAAATCTAATTTTTCAAAGTATTCGTAAAACGATATTTCTTTTTTTAAACTCTTTAAATCACTTTTTCGTACTAACTGTCCTGCTTTATTAACTCAACTAATCGTTTGTTTTCCCCCATCCAAGATGGTAACAATTTGCGCTATTGTTATTTTGCACAACAACGTGAAAATGACTTTCCGACTGCGATTATTGTTTTATAAAACAACCTGCATTTCCATCCCGCAATAATTCTAAAATTCGTGATTCTCTTACTTAAAATCATATATGTAAATAACATGCGATGATAAAATTTGACGGATGTTTTCAACTTTGAAATTTAAAGATTTTATAGATTAAATAAATAGAATAGATTAAAAAATTTTATTGGTTAAAAATTGCGGATTTTTTATTATACTAAAATACCTATATTTTACAATAAAATTAATATTAGATGTAAAATTATGCAAAATATATTGTTACTGAGTATTTGCAGTTCAAAATCTCAATACATTTGCAAGTTTTATGCATTTTGTTGTTATTTTGGTCATTTTTTCTGAGTATTATAAAATAATTAAAGCAAGTGGTGGTGCTGCCAGAAAATGAATGAAAAATCATTTTAAAAACAAGTTTCATTCGCCTCAAAACTATGTTTCCCAAAACTATGTTTCCCAAAAGCAGGCTGCTAGCCAATATGAATGAAGCACAGCCCTTAATAAAAACTCGTTATACTAGTTAAAAATAACCTGGCGTTAAAAAGATTTTAACAAAAAAAAAAAGGGGGGACCAAAATCAAGATCAAAATTGGTTAAAGAAAATATCAATAAAAACATCATAAATATCAAGAAAAACTTGTAACTAAAAAATTTTCTGTTTTTACTTTCTTTCTTAGCCTTAAATTAGAGAAACATCAGTTTCGATTTTAATTTGTAAAAATACTTTTAAATAACTCAGTTTGTTGTAAAGGACGAAGGAAAAAAGGGGAGGCAGATGATAAAAAATATATATATGTCAAAGGAGTATATAAAACTTTTTATGACGTGTTAAAAGATTCTTTCTAAAGAAATGGAAAATTTCAAACCTATCTTACATATTTAATCGCGGAGGTTGTAAGGACCCATTTTAAGGTCATTTTTTTTCAAACTATTTGCCGAATAATAATATCAATATAGTATAGATCATTTTTTTATTCATCTGATTGCGCTTACGTATTATTTTATAATAAAAAAAAAATTCCTATACTTTGTCATTGCATTGTTTTTAAACTAATGTATAAATAATATTACGAAATACGAAAGACGACGCGACGTAATCTTTTTTTAAATAGTAAATAAATCATCCATCTAATAAACCAAATAAAAAAAAAGTAATTTAAAACAAGAAGCAAATGTTAAATACAAAATTTGAGAGTTATTCATTACCATTTCAACTCTTTTATTATAGAAAGTTATCACTCACAACTAATAATAATGGTCATATTCGTCAATATTGATGAAAATAATAAACAGTTTGAGAAACAAAGAAAACAAAAAATACATTACTTCATTACTTTCCATTTCAATCATTGGTGGTATGTGCAATTATTTTTTAAAATTCCATTTATACTGTCAAATATTTTTAATGCAAATATGTATAGTCGATAATCCTATTTCAAGAAATTTGCTTTCTATGTCATTTAATGTTTTTTGAACATTTGTGGCTATGAAAATAGCCGTTTTTAAAATGCTTTATCTTTGGCATTGAAAATTATCGCTTACGTCTGCGTCTTTTATAGAAATGTTTGCACATTAGCAATGGTACCACTGTGGACACTGTGTACACTGCACTCAATCTTTCTTTTTAAAGTCTGCATTATGATAGAAAAATAAGACTATTCTGCATCACATATCAGTACTAATATATCTGAATACACAATATACCTATAAGAATATAGATATCTCAATTTTACAATTTTCATCTCTCAATGTTTTTTAGATTTTAGGGCAAATAATAAACAACTAAAGTGCTAACATCAAAATAAAAATTTTCATTCGTAATTTCCGATTGAATTGTAAAAAAATATTCACTTACCTTGCAAATATCATACAACTTTTCAAAACCACTTTAAAGATTCTTTAAACACCCACCACATAAAGTATTTACGTGTTAACTAAATGTGTTTACGGAGTTGCACTTCATTAAAAGGGTTATTAAGATTTTTTCCTACAAATCATAAGAACTTTGTTGTTTTTATTAACAGATGTGGAAAAATTCATAAGCAATAAAAAAACTAACAATATAAGTTTTTCCTGCATAAGTAAATAATAGAAGATATTTAATACTAAACAATGAATGAAATAAATTCCAATAAAAAATTAAGTAATTTATTGTCAGTAAAAAATTAATAATTATGCTATTATTAATCAAAATTTATGTCTTTTTTTCAATGTAAAATAATAAAATAATAATTTTTTAATACAATAGAGAAACAATGATAAATAAACAGATATATCAAAACCAATGTCCCCACACTGCTGGATTTGTCACCAACATACATAATAAACTGTACCTTCGCACAGCTGTAATGAATAGTAACATACATAAACACCACAGTTATAACTATCTTTTTGTAAGCAATAATTTTGTGTTGAAATAACATTTGGCTTTAATATGTTGAACTTGCACCTAAAAATTTCTTTGGCAACTGCAATTAACTTATCACAAGATGAATCATTGGATAAAGTATTTAAAGATAGTGGATCAAGAATAGCTTATATAAAGTATTGTTGGTCCACAATACTTCATAAAAGGATACTTTTTTTCTAGACAATGAAGTAAGCTTCCAATAACTTCATCTTGAGGCTAGCCCTTTTGAAATTGAAGATTGTTTTGCAATTTTTGCAATAACTCTGAAGAAACTGTGTTTTCCAGCGTCAAGAGAGAAATAAGAGAAAGTTGTTAAGGTCCATGTCTTTAAAAAAATTAGGTAATATTTAAACAGATATACAAACTCATAAACACAAAAAGTGGAATTAAAGCCTCCTCATAGGAGCACTAGTAAAGAGTACTAATAAAGTCACTTGTTTTGATGTCATCACATATTGTTTGAATTTCTTCTTTGTGTATTAAATTAATATTTTCCTGACACATTTTCATAACTATTTTCTCTTTTTGGTGCTGTTCAGGATATTGGTATGGTTTTATTTTTCATTTCCTTTTATCTTTTCTTGTTTTTCTGAACTGACTAGGCTGCCATTGACTATCTTATTTCTTATTTTGTGCAAAATTTAATGGTTGAGTTTGCAATGTTGCCTTTATAGGTATGTCAGATGAGTTTATACCTTTAATGGCTTAAGCTTGCCTAATCATATCTTCTAATTATCTGTTTATTGATGGAAGTTAAAGGCTTACTACATTTGGATTAGTTACTAATAAGCATAATTCATTAAAAAAAACTTTTAAACCTGTCAGCCTCATTATGAAGAGTTTATGGCTTTTTTATTAACTAAACTTCCTCTGAAAAACCAGCTAATGATAATTCTTTTATGTTTGTTTTTTTACTTTTCAGAATGATTGATTGTAACTTGTGAATATGCTTACAAGGATTAGCATTTTTATTGCAACTATAGTTGTATAAATGCTCACACAAACCGATACAGGCCAGATTTATACATAATTGTGAACATAAACTTTCTTTACAGATATCTTGCAAAATGTCGACTTTATACATTATGTCTTTTGATTGACTTCTCACAGTGTACTCTGTTGATGAGCATTTAAAAACACAGATATCTGAAATCAGCAACCCCTTTTCATGACGTTTTTTATATTTTTTTAGGGAGAGATATAGTCCCTAGATAAATGTTGTTTCTTTTGCGTCTCCAATAATCATCTTCCTCAATTTATAAAAGTAATTTAATCATCTCATCTAACCTTTTATTGGGTCTTCTATCCATATAGACTGTCTTCAATTTGTCATGAAACGATTCAAGCAACATATTAGTGTCAGTATTTTTCTTTAAGTTATTTTACACTAACAAATATTTTATGTATGAGTATAAAAAGTGTTGTTTTAAAAAATAAATTTTTCCAGTATAAAAAGTATAATTGAGCAAGCAAAAGAGAGAAATAGAGAGAAAATACGATTGATTTTTTTTTGTTGGCCATCATCATTAAGTGTAATAAATTATTTCAATGAACCGCAGTCTAACTAATACATATTTAAGCTGCTCAATATTAAGCAAATTTAAGCTGCTCAATATTAGATGTTGTGGAGATAATGTAATTTTTTTTATGAACATTAAGTCATTACTTTTTTTCCTTGTTTCTTTAAAATGCTTTATCACTGTATATGTTGTTTTTAGTGTTTAAGATATATTCTTTATTATATAATATATTTACAACATAGTTTTAAATTGAATGAATATTCTTAGATCATGAGTTATGTGACAATTTCGAATTTGCTACTACTAGTGATATTCAGATAGAATAAGAATCAGAAAGTTTTAACTTTTTTAAAAGATTTAAACTTAAGTTAAAAACTTAATTTAAATATTATTAGTTTTATTTTGATATTATTTATTATAGGAACCACTACCGTTCTTATGCAAGAGAAAATATAATCCAACTAAAAATAACCAACAGAATAGTAAGCAAGTATCCACTCCTATAACGCAAAAAAAAAAAAGGAAACAACTTTTATGCATACTTCGCATACTATAGTTCAAGGTATTGATTGTCTGTCTGCAAGTTGTTTTAGAAAGAATAGATTTTGAATGTTTTTTTTCTATGCTTCAGTAGTTTACACATTTTATTGGTTGTTAAATAATATATTTTATTTATTTTATGAATGTTTTAAAGTTATTTTTTTATTGTTGTTTTTTATTTCTTTGTTATGACATTTTATTTCATTGGTATGACATCTATTTTTATTATAGCATTTAGTAAAAGCTATTTTATTTCTAGTATTCTAGTATTGATTATTTTTTTACGTGGTTGATTTTTTGATTTAAAAAATATTAGGATCAGCAATGGCAAGATTTTCCTAAGGAAAGAGAGTATTTTAATATAGTGCACAGCCAAGGTGGCGTGTGTGTTTTTCCACATAAAAGAAAAAAGATTGTTTTACCAGAGATACCTGCATTTGTTTCCCTTATAAGAAAAGCTACTAAAAAAGATTCCTTATCGAATGGAAAGTCTCCCATTACTGAGGAAGGTATATGAAATATTTGATATTTATTTTAGTATACATTCATTTTATTAGTTAGTAAAAAAAGCAAGTAATTATCTTTAAGACATTAGAAGAAATATATTTTGTCAAAATCCAATAATTTTGTTTATTTAATAAATAGATGTTTTGAAATAGTGTGTTTTGTTCTTGTGTTTCAATGCTTCTAGAAATTAAATAATGTTTGGTTCTTTTATCTTCGAGTTATATCTTTATTATTAGAATTTCAGAAGAAAGTTTTAAATGCACTGGTAGAAATACAGGAGATGTTAGTAATGCTCTTTCCAGTAATTAAAATATCATCACGACAAATAGTCCTGATATTTTATGAACGAATTCGCAGCAGTCATTTAGTGATTATGATAACAGTTTAAATGATTTTTGGGTAAGATCTGAAGTTAGGTCATTTCAAACCATGACTTTTTGCAGCTTTATTATTGTTTTTTTGGGATTATGTATTTGCTCAAGTTAATCTACTTGTAACTTTTTATATATGTACTATAAAAATAATGTGATGTAATTATTTTATTAACCCTTTAGGGATTATGATTACAGTTTAAACGGGTGATGTCTGAAGTGGTAATTTTTTTATAAACCATTACTTTTTGTATTTTTAAGTCATTACTTTTTGCACTTTTTTATATATTTTTTTTTTCATATAGTTAATCTAGTTGTAACTTTTTATATATTTATTATAAAAAGAATTTGATGAAATTATTTTCTTAACCGTTTAGGTTACCAAAACTTTCTAAAATCAGAGTTAAGACAAATATAAAAAATGTGAATCAAAGGTTAGTTAAAAATAGTTTTAAATAAAAACTTTTTGAATCTTGTTATTATAGTTTGTTTTAAAAATATGTTTAGCTTATGTTTCTAAAAGTTTGACGAATTCTAATCAGACATAAAATAAATCTTTTTTTTTTTTTATGACTGATTTGAATTTTTTTTTTTTTTTTGAAATTTTTTGCATTGAGCTAAAGAACAACCTTAATGCACAAAGGTTATTTTGAAACGCATACTTAACCTTTTTTTGCTTTATATTTACATACATATATATGTACATAAATAAACATACATATATATATGTACATAAATAAACATACATATATTTGTATATATATATACATACATAAATATACATACATATGCGTATATGAATATATATATATATATATATATATATATATATATATATATATATATATATATGTATATATATATATATATATATATATATATATATATATATATATATATATATGTATATATATATTATATATATTTATATATATTATATATTATATATTATATATCATATATTATATATATATATATATATATATATATATATATATATATAATATATTATACATTATATATCATATATTATATATATATATATTTATATATATACATATTATATATTATATTTATATATCATATATTATATATATATATATATATATATATATATATATATATATATATATATATATATATATATATATATATATATATATATATATATATATATGTATATATATATATATATATATATATATATATATATATATATATATATATATATATATATATATATATATAATGTATCAATTTTTAATATAACTATAATGATAATAATAATATATAATGCTGGTTGTTGACCAATGGTTTATAATCAAAATTTAATATGGCTGGCGGTAAGAATAATGAGAAGTTTGAAGGAACAAACATTTTTAAGGTTGTTACTGGTAAGTCAAGTGTAAAATTCAAAGTTGAGATATGGTTGATATGTAGTCGATAAGACGTTAAAACAACGTTGAAACAACGTAATCATTGACGTTGTTTCAATATCGTAGTTTTCAACGTCGGATTTTGTTTCCAATTCCACCAAATTTCTACGTTGTTTCAACGTGACATATGGTCGGTTTGCGACGTTGTTTCAACGTTATTTCAACGTCATTGTGCCTGCTGGGAAATGGGTGCTTGTTATAAAATAATATTATACTATTTTAGCAATAATAAATTACTGTGAAGCTAGACTGTTGTTTTTATTAAATTTTAAAACAAAACAAGACGTTTTTGAATAGGTTTTGCTTTTACAAAAAACGCATTCAAAGTTACCCCATTTGTAGAGTAACTTTGAATGACTATTTAAATTAATATTATACAAAATTTCTTTATTTAAATATTATTTTGAATTTGAATTATGTAAGAGTCAATCTTAGCCCCTATATTCATTTTGTTAAATTTCAAATATTGTTAATAGTGAAGGAAGAGCAAGTAAAAATATCTCAAAAATGTTCAAAGTAACCCCGTTTTACGGTACACAAAATTATTTTACCTCATTACAAGATGCATGACAGAATTCATTTTTTCATGCTCATGGACGGGTTAACCTCGCCAACCTAAAGAAAAAGTTATAGAAAAAACTACTGTTTTGAAACAAGTTGTAATTAATTTGCGCGGCCGTGGCGCAATGGTTAGAGCGCTTGCTTTATCAGCAAGAGATCCAGTTTTGAAACGAGCTTTGGACGTATTTTGCGTCACGGTAAGGAAGGAGACGTGAACTTCATGGTTAAATGCACTACCGCGGTGCTCTGTGACAAGACCGTTAGGTCTTCTTGTTGTACCTAAATAACAAATTAAAGAGAAAAAAAAATTCGTGTCTTGGCTTTTAGTAAATGATTTTAATTTTAAATTCCAATAATGCAACTAAATAAATCATTTTTAAGCCTAGAAACCAGTTGTAATTAAGCTAGAGCTGTTTATCAAAAAATTTTCAAGTCACAAAACTGGCGGTACCTATTTTGCAACAGGAGACTCAACAAGGGTAAATTGGCATAAGAATTATAGCATAACATAAAATAGTGTAACTTCCGCCAATAAAAAAGAATGAACTAATTTAATATTCAATTCTAACCCTTCATTTTGTATTTGAAGATTTGTGCAAAGGCAGGCCGAAAAAGTCCTAAATAATTTCTAAGCGGACATGAACTTCGCTGAAAAAGTTGGACAAAAGTACAAAAGGTTTTATAGTGTGAAATCCGCGTAAATTAAAGCTGCACGCGAATGATTTTGCTAACGTAATTGAAAATGACTAATGCAATGGAAAAAAATTTGCTTAAATGTTTTAATAAAATTATTTTCCCACATCTAGATTTGCCCATTCAGCACAGCTTAGTTGTATTAGATCTTTTTTTAAAAGTTAAACGAAGAATAAGTAAATCGGGTTTCTTCGTGTCTTGTACAAAAAAGCGCATTGTTTTTTATTTATGGTACATTTTTTATATAGTTTTTAGATCTGACTGAAAATGAATATTTTTTTAAATTTATCCAGTTTGGATAGTAGTATATTAGTACCTTTCGTGTTCTGAATTACTCGTAACATTTATTACGAGTAATTCAGTAATATTCAATTCATTAAACCATTATTTTAAAATTTTTTTGCTCTCACTACTATATTCCTTAATATCTTTGTGTGTATGTGTGCGTGTGTGTGTGCGTGTGTGTGTGCGTGTGTGTGTGTATGTGTGTGTGTCTGTGTGTGTGTCTGTGTGTGTGTGTGTGTGTGTGTGTGTGTGTGTGTGTGTGTGTGTGTGTGTGTGTGTGTGTGTGTGTGTGTGTGTGTGTGTGTGTGAAAAATGCTGCAAATACCAAAGCATTTTTCATATAAATTAATTAATCCACATTAATCGTTACCGACAAAAACAAAAAATTAATCCGCGTGAAATATTTAAAAATTCCATTCTCAAAAAATCCGTGCAAAATTGAATCCTTGTAAAAAACTAATTAAAAATATTTATTGATTTAAAAAAATATCTATTTCATTTTGTTGTATATGTTTTTATATATCGTGATATTTAAGTAAAGGAATTATGGAACTTATACGACTATAATTTCTTTCAATTTTTATTGCCATAGCATAAAGCAAAAACATGTTCAACTTCATTTGAACTATTAAAATAATTTATAATAAGTTTAGTTTAGTATTAAAAAATAGTTTGGGAAAAAAAGCATTCAATAAAACTTTTTTTCCGTATAATCCATAAAAACAAAAAAAACAAAAATTAAAATAAAAAACAAAAAAACCAACCTTTTATTATTTTTTTATTTTAATTACTTTGAAATTATGGGTAAAAAAAAGTATCGGATAAAAATTTGTCCTACATTTAGATATAATCGGATATAAACAACCGGGTATAAATTTGTTTTAAATTTTAACATAAAAAATTAACATAACAAAAAATGGCTCTTTTTATTTGACGTTAAAATGGTATAACACAATTTATTTGTTTAAAGTCAAAAAACATCGTATAACTAGGCATATTCATACTTAGGAAGTTAGCACTAATGTCACTAAGGGCTACTTGTATAACAGTAGCGTATAAACCATGTTATAAACTTGATGGACAATTTTTTGAATGGGAAAAATAACTTGGCTAGAGTCTTAGTTAAAAAAAAAAAAAAGTGTTTCCTACAATTGGGGAAGTTAATTATTATTTACCATTAGGAATGGTCGGGTAAACGGACTGTATAGAAGCTAATTAACACACTCAGTATGTTGTTTAAAAGATGGTTGAAATCAGGGCAGGCCCAGACCGTATGCAAGCAATGCAGCCGTAAGGGGCCTCGTACCTAAAGGGGCTTCGCATTGCTTCGGTATATATCTATCTCTAGCTTTCTAAAAAGGCCATGCGGGGCCCTATTAGGCGGAATTTTTTTTTTAGTTTTCTATATTTAATAATCAAAATAAAAATAATAATGTGCATAATATATGATTTTTGTGAAAAACATATTACAATATGTATTTTCATCAATAATAACTAGTGACAATATTGAGTATTTATATATCATATATTAGGGAGTTTAGTCACGTGATTTTTTATCGCGGAAAAAAAACTTTGGGTTTGATATTGAAAAACTTCGTCCAAAATACGAAGGAAATGATTTTATGTAGGTGCCGAAGAATAAAAACCCACCCATGAAAAATAATTATATACATATATATACTGATGTATTATTTTTCAGAAAAGAACGTAAAACATTTATTTATGTGATTCCGACAGTTTTCTCTTAAATTGAAAAAGTTATTCTCTTTTAAATGATTCAATTTTGTGTAAATACCAGTGCAAAATTGAATCATTTAAATTTTTTATGAAAAACGATGCACTTCGAATAGAAAGAACTATGAGTTGACTTTTTAAACATAAACGTTTTTTGTTGTCGCAATATTTTCCAAAAAAAAGTGATCTGCCGTATTCTAATGTGTGATCTGCCAAATATTTCGGCAGATCATAATGCAACCGGCAGAGCAGATTGGCAGAACAGATCATTGTAATAATAATAACGGCAGAGCAGATTATCACAGACAGACAATGAGCCGTTTTCTGTTTTGTGATCTGCAAAATTATATTTTGATAATGCGTGAACTGCCAAATAATATTTAAATAATGTGTGATCTGCCAAATAATATTTGGCAGATCACAATAATATTTGGCATATCACATATTAGAAAACGGCTGATTGGATAATCTGCTCTGCCGCTATCAACATTACAAGGATCTGCTCTGCCATTCTGCTCTGCTCTGCCGATTGTACCTACCGATAATTTATTTCGAAGAAAAAACGATTTAAGACATCTATTAAAAAATTTAAGACACATAGATAGATAAGATAATCCGTATAAGTATTTCCATGACTGTAAATCTATGTTATTATGACTGTTTATTTCCATGACTGTTAATCTATGTTAATTCCATA